AACTTACAGTTTAGCATCAACCGGTGGTGAAATCCTTTGTAACAAAATGTAATCGTGTTTTTGGACTGCTTCCGATTTTGGTTCCTGAAGCAAAAATTAATTAGAACAATTATGAAGTATTATAATATTAATATATGCTTAATTGTAACAAAATGTAATCGTGTTTTTGGACTGCTTCATGATTTATTAGGGTTAATTTTGAATATGTAACCAAAATCAGAAATCTTTTTTGCGTTGCTTCTCGCAAAATATAACGTTTATCGTATGTAGTTTTACATTTACTTTACAAATAAATTTTCACTATTCAAGTTCGTGATAGTGTAAACCATTAGTCATGCCACTATTATATTTTATCAACATTATATACTTTTATTACCTTGTTTGAAGGTTCTCCACCGTTGGTGTCCATTTCATTAGTTCTCCAATCACTAGAAGGAATCTTATAGCTAGTTTTAGCACATGTAACGTATGCATATATTGGGGGATCATATCGTTGAGAGATTATTAAGCACTAACTCATCATATCTTTGAAGATCTTAAAAAGTCCAAAACCAACTCAACAAAAAGCATGAATTGTGTCACTTTTATTTGCCCCGACATAGAGTTGAGGTGTCACTTAAGCATAGGTGCTATTTATGCTCTTCCATTACAAGTTCTTTTCTTATGGACAAACTTCGGTATTTAACAGCTACATCAGCTAATGTTACTAATCACGTTCGGATGTATATTGGGCATAAGCTGGTTCAAGATTAGTTCGAATCCTAAATCTGCCACTTTTACAAATATATGTGTCATGATATGAAAACGAAACTAAAAGCATTCATTGGCATCCCAGATGCTAAGAGTAATGTGAAACTACGGTGGATTTGTGAGATTAACGCAAGGGAGTTCAGGGTTTAAGAGGATATTGTTAATACGTCATGTACCTATAACATAATACTAATAAATACATATGCTATACACACAAATGAATTGATCAAAACCCCTTTTACGATATGACAATTACACTAAAAAAGTTTTCGCTTTTACGATACTAAAATTGGAGACCAAATCTAGGGTGGATGCCTTACCTAGCCCTAATATTATACACATTAGTCACATTATGTGGGGTCTAATGCGTGGGTTTTGGTTCTAAAGTGAAAAAGCAAACCATTGCTCTCCAAAGATTAACCACCTGAAGACTATAAAAAGATTGGGGATATTGCTACTTAATGGAGGAAATGGGTCTTTAGTTTATCTTTTCCATTGATTTTATCCCATGTTGTTATCAATTGGTGGTAGTGGCTGACATAATTAAAAGCCATTGTTTGTGGCATCAAAAGGAATTTCAATGGATGTTATCCACCACTAAACTATTCTTAGCTGCCTTTTGCAACTTTATCTTGTTCATCATTTCTTTTATGGGCCACCAGGTCCTGTGCATAATAATGCACTAACTAAACATGGATTTTATTTGTGTTCTGCGGAATTGCTTAGGTCAATTTCGACATAATTTTTGTGTTGATTTTGTTAATATAAAAGTTAAAACATCTAAGAGGAAAGGACCAATTAAGAATCCGGCTTCTTGCAGGATCTTTTTTGTGAGGATTTCAATAATCCGTGAATTGTGTCTGTTCATTGTACATCATACGATCAACAATCATTTTAAATATTTTTATTTAAAAATAAACATAAACAATACTTGACAAAAACTGACCATACAATATACGATGAACGAACATGATTCACGAATCTCTAGGATCCTCACCAAAATAATCCGAAGAGAATTCTGTTGGGAACAATTAGCTGAGGCAGCTGGAGATTCTTGGTAGATATGGGGTTTTTTTGGATTGTGCTCCGACTTCCATTTGACACCTGGGCACTTGGTTTTGATTTTTAGACCAAAACGACAGGGAGGACGAAAACCTGACTGGTGATGTTATTTCGTGTGCCTGTTTGTTTGATTTTGTTGAGAGTATATAGATTCCACGTTGAAGAAAATAGGGACTTTGCATGTATTTAGACGTAATTAACTTATTGGGAGCTTTCTCATATAACCCTCCCTTAGTTTTATGGTGTAATCACAATTTTCTTTATTATATTATTAGAGCAGAATATACCATGTTGTGAAGCTTAATGACCACATGTACTCTACGTCATTCGATTTGTGTTGTCCACGTGTTAGATTTGAATGTTTATCCCGTGTGAGTGGACGTGTTGAGAGTATAAATCACACATCGGGGAAATGAAAGACCTTGTATTTATAAGTAATTGAACTACTCCTCATATTTTTAATTGATTTTATAATAAAACCTCAACTTTCTCCAGATTTGCTATGATTTGGTTCTTGGTTCTTATACTGTGAGTTGCTTTAATCAAGCACCTCCCAAAAGGGAAGATGAAAATCCTTTTGAAGTTAAAGAGTTGGGTAAAATACAAAAAACTACCTCAACTATTGGTGTCACGACCCTTTCATACCTTATCTTTTAAAATTGACAATGTCATACCTCATCTTACGAATTTGTGCCAATGTTATACCTTCCGTTAGCTTGGCGTTAATTTCTCAGTTAAATGAAGCTAATGGAAGGTATAACCTTCCTTTCGTCCCCCCACACCCCCCCCAAAAAAAAAACCCAACCCCCTGCAACCCAAAAAGAAGGAGGAGGAAGAAGAAGGAAGAAAAGAAAAAAAAAACCAAACCAAACCCAGCCAACCCCATATCCACCACTCCCACCCCCATCATGAAGGTTTCCCGATTCCACCTCAACGGGATTTGGGTTTTTTTTTTTTTTTGGGTTGTAGGTAGTGGGTGCGGGCTTAGGGAAGACAGGAGGGGGGAAGAAAGGAAGGGGGTAGGGGAAAATCGCAAGTTGGGGGGGAGATAAATTGGTTTCTTTTTCTTCTTCTTCTTTTTCGTGGGTTGCAGGAAGGGCGCTAGAAGGGGGAAGAAAATGAAGATGGGGGAGAAGAGAGAGAAGGGGGGTGGGGAAAGGGGACATGAGGCTTTATTTTTTATTTTTTATTTTATATATTTTAACTTTTCTTTATTATTTTAATATTTAAAAATTATTAAATGATTTTTTTTAGTTTTTAATAAATTTTTAATAGAAAATGGGTTTCAGATTAAGCCGCGTCAGCATTTAACTGAGAAATTCATGCCAAACTAATGAAAGGTATAATATTGGCACAAATTCGTAAGATGAGGTATGACATTGTCAATTTTAAAATATGAGGTATGAAAGTGTCGTGACACCAATAGTTGAGGTAGTTTTTTGTACTTTACCCTAAAGAGTTTTATGGCACAATTATTTATTTGGAATGAGAGAAGTTATATTTTATCACAAAGTAATGAATTTTTCCTTACACGAACTTAAGTGTATATGTTAGCTTGCGATTAGGAGTTTGTTAAGAAATGATTGTTTTTACTTTACATTTAGAGTAGTGTTATTCACACTCCATTTTACCTTCCACACCCCTTGTTATTTTTGTTCATTGATTTTTTCAATTCATTTAATCCAACTGCGAGGGGTATATAAAAAGTAAAAATGGGTGCGTGGATAGCACTTCCCTATATTTAATGTTAGGAGCCAAGCAATGTCCTTCTGCTAAAAAGGCCTCAGCGAGCTTCTAAGTTTCGTGGTGAAATCCTTTCTACTTTGTAGTGTCCCAAGTCCCCAAGCGCATTAGAAATCAGAAGGGCCTTCGTGGGCTACAAAGGTAGAGGCCTACTTTCTGGTTATGGTTTGGTGAGAAAGGGACGAGCCCATTGGGTAAGCTAATTAGTCGGAGAACCTTTTACAAAAGCCCATTAAGGCCCAATATTGGATTGTTTTTTTTAGGGTGCCGAATGTGACGTTACTAATTTCCCCCGCCCATGAAAGAGCGGGCCGGTCGACAATATTGTTGTTTTACCTTGTACATGATATAGTAATAAATTAATTTATACGTTATCATATAAGGGAGTTGATAAAACGACATCCGTCACGAAAAGTTTGTCAATTTTCAACCATAAAACGCCAAGTTGAGCCGAAAGCATAGTTATCCAAACAAATCAAAAAGTAGACAAGTTAATCACCACCTTAACTTTAACCCATACAGAAAATTCCATGGAAAGAATAACCATCACTTCCCAAAACCAGGCGCATCAGGAACAGATAACGATCATGTCGAGCAAATTGACGTGCATGAACAACAAGATATCTGTCTTATCCGATTTAAAAAGAAGAAAAAGCAAAAAGTCAATGCGCGCTGCTTGCAAAAGTTTCAAACCTACCAATCATATCGCACGGCTATTCTACTCCACATGCCAATCAGAAAATCATGCCAAGACACCATTGGAGGTAATCGTTATTGACGCTCGAAATAGTCATATTTCACACATTTTCTTGCTTTTTTTATTGGAGAAAAGTTGACGAAAGAATGCTAATAACAACTCCCGTAACATCAAATTGGAGGAAGACATAAGTAAATGAAATAATGGCACGCTCCTCCCTCTTTTTCTAGCCTTCGGGATGACGAACCAAAGACGAATCAAGGGACAAAAGAAAAAGGGAAGAGTGCAGAAGTAGAGGACAGGAGTACGGAAATCACTATACTTTTACACACTCAAATGGCGTTAATGGAAGAAAAGAGAGCTGGTCAGTACCTCATAGACTAAACTTATGGAGGGCAAGTAAAAATCATGCGAATTATAGGTAGAACAACAGATTAACACATGAATGAACAACATCTACTGCAACACAAATCCGCTAAAATTATTCTAACTACGATCAGAACATTGCCGAACAAGAGTAAATTTCAAAAGACACACCTAAATGTGGAAGCAACAGTACCAGAAGAGGGAAGATGTTGCGTACATGACTAGAGTCTTTTAACATCGGACTGTTTTGCACATTTAGTACCATAAACGTTTATGAAGATTAGATGGTAATCCAAGAATTCAGAGGAAACTCAAAAATTTATTACATATATAACCCATCACAATTTCCTCAAGTAATGCAATCAGTACATAAGCCAGCATCAAAGATAACAACCTTCATAATTTATTTCCTCTTGTGAAGACAACACAAATACAATTAAGAAGGCGAAACCCGTAAGACTAGTTCTGTGTATTTCAAAAAGCTTCAGCAGGCACTACTGACAACCTACCAATGTGTTGGTACTTCAAATTATTGAACCTGTTCCTATATCCTACACGATGCCAACGTTTAAAATTTCTCATGTTACTAAAAATGGGGCAAGACAAATTCCATATGAGGAAATCAATATAAGCTTGAAAAAAGGAAAGTTAAAAAAAGAAAAAAGTTCACTCAAGAACTCATTCCCAGAAAACATTCAATTGAATCTTGAGTAAAATTAAAAATTCTTCCCCATTCTCCCCCACCCGAAAGGGATTTAACAATCAAAAAGAAAAGGGGGAGTTACCAATTAGCAAGACTCCTGTGTCGATGGACAATCCAATCTTATACATCTGTCTGTACCTTCAGCATCCCATCACTGCACAATTATAGACAAAGTTACCCAATTGCTTCCTCGCAAGCAAGTTCCATTGTGGAGGACCCTCACCTGGAACCCATGCATTGATCTCTATGAATCCTTCAACCAGAGCCCTAGGCCCGCCAATAACAATAAGCTGGTCTCCACAAGCCCTGAATGCAAGACCCCAACCATTCATTGAGGCTGCCCGCTCTGGCAATCTCCCCACCGTCAGCCACACTCTTCTCTCCTTATCATATTTCCTCACCTCCATGTCAGCGTAGTCAGCAGCATACAATTCATTATTTACCACTGCAACCAGAGGTGGTGCCTCACCAGCAGGCACATCAGTCTCTCTGGCTGCACCACTCCGTCCAGGAGACATGTTAGGTATTTCTGTCCATGTTCTTGCCGTTAAATCATATTCTTCGCCACATGTAAGAACCTTCGAATCACTTCCCCCAATGCCACCAATAACATAAAATTTTTCATCCATAAAAACCCCGGAACACATCTTCCGGGGCTTCTTCATGCTCGGGAGCATCTCCCAAGTCTGAGTCTCAGAATTATATAGCTCCGCAGAGCTGAGTATATTTCCCTGTGAATCACAACCACCTGCCAAAATTGCAATCTCTTTAAGGCTGGCAGACCCAAACAAGCATCTCGGGGCATTCATTCTCATTCCAGAAGACCACGAGTTTGTCAAAATACTATACCTAAAGATTACATGGGAAGTCACCTCCTTACCAAATACAAGAAGCTCGGTTCCCACAGCACAAGATTCCTTGTCCGAACACATGAAACATTCATTGGAAGTCATCCTTGGCAAGTGCATCCACCTTCCACGATTGGGATCAAAGGCCTCCCATTCAAGTAGGTGGCAAGAGAAATAAATCCAGTGCTCAATGACATCATTCTGCCTCCTCAGTTTATAGAGCTCCCCGCTCCTAACTAAGGAGCGGAAGCTCTGGTTCAAAGAGGCAATGGAACCATAATCAGATCTCGAGCAGCGAATTAGGCAGCTGATCAAGTTGTCCCTACCAATCCTATTTATATGCTTATCCGAATCTGAAGAAGCCCGAGAATGCTGCTGATCCTCCGATTGCTCACACAATGACTGATTCACCTCCGTCTCCACCATGTCACAACAATCCAATCGCTTACACAACTTCCTCTCTCGATGCTCTTCGTCGTCATCACCGCCATCAAACCCCAATGGGCGCTTGCTGTTGGAAATATCGTCGAGCCGGCGGTAAGTCATGTATGGCCACTCGCTTTCTGGCTGGCAAGAGCTCGGAAACACCCTCGAAAGCAAGCAGGATCGACCCTCCAACATTTCTCCGGGAAACAATCAATGGAAGGCCACCAAATTCAGACACAAATCCTATCCAAAAGCCTCTTATCTCTGGGTAAAAAAAATTGACAAATTCCACAGATAAATTTTCCAAAAATCCAATCCCCCAAGTCCCTCAGAAAGTTCAGTCAAAATACAAGATTCAAACTATTCAGAATTCAATCAAAATTAGAAGAAAAAAAATGTCCAGTTTGTTTGTCAAAAATAGTATAAAAACCAAATCTTTGCATGAATCGGATGAAGAGAGTCCAACCTTTTCAGCACTATCTGTCAAACTTTCAGCCTTCCAACTCCATCATCCAACGATCCCAGATGGGTTTTCTCCAAAAACCAATCTCTCAATTATCCTTTTTCCTTTCAACATGTGAGAAAGTCAAATCAAAACCAGAGTTTCACAGAAATTAATACCCAAAAAAATGAAAATTCTTGTTTGTCAGAAAAGAAAATTGGGTCGATGTTAAAACATTAAAATCTGTAAACCCAGCGAATCAAATGAGCAAAAAAAATCGAAATCAGAGCTTAATTTATAAGTTCTAATTAACCCCCAAAACAATAACACACAGTTAAATTAGATCTGTTTACAATTGGCTATTCACAAATAAACCTTTTTAATCCAGCAATTTCCCCACATAAAAAAGCAAATTAAATTGATTAAAAAGGAGAGATTAAAGAAATGCAAGGGACTTACGGATTGGATAAGAAGAAAAAGGACCTGGTTGGAATTTTCAAAATTTCTCCCTCTCTCTCTGCCTTTCTCTCTCTAACTGTAACTCCAAACTCACTGTTTCTTTTCTTCGCAGTTCTCTCTCTCTCTATCTCTCTCTCTCGCTCTTCCCCAATTGTCCGTCCTTTGGATTCTCTCTGCAAATCAGAGAAAGCTCTGAGCTTCTTCGGCTTTGGAGCAAAAATCTTCAGTGAGCCCCCCCATCCCTCTTAAACCATTCCATTTAAATTTATAAATTTTAATTTCTTGGTTTTTTGGCTTTTAATATTTCGACGTTATTTTTTAAGATCATAAAATAATATTATTTAATTAAGTTTTTATTTAAGTCGGAAGCACTATGGAAATCGCTTTTGTGTTAACATTTCTCGTTGAGTGGAGGTGGGGCCCCCAAAAAGCCTGGCAGACAGAGTTTCTAGCCGTAGTTGCCGTTATAATTACCGGGAACCGGTTGGCGCCTCCATACGTGTTGACCGGGGAGACTGGTAATGATAACTGTCCCTCTCTGGCGTCGACGGGCTGGCTGGACACGACTCCGTAATCTTACGTCATTTGCTGCCCGTGAAAGATCCGATTTCTCGTCTGACGTTTTGGTCAATTTATCGGAACTTTCCGGATGGTTTCGGGCTCTCCCATTGGAGGTTGGGATACTCTGCGATTGAACTTCTTACACTCGTTTTGCTTTTTTTGGTGGTTCCGGTTTTTTTTTCTTTTTTTTTTCTTTCTGGTGAAATTATTAACAAAAGGACCTTCGTTAATTACCCTATTTGACTGGTCAAATCCATCGTTAATTATATTGTTAATATCATTATTCCTTGGAAACTTTAATATCAATTTTTATGCTCAACTTAGTATTACGGTTTTCACTTGTAAGTGAGAGTTATTAGGTTCACTTCTCACCACAGTCAAATTTGAACTACATTATTATAGCTGGCCCATTATGAGGCTTAACTCACTCCCCCACCGATTTAATGTAAACGATATTGTTTGTTCCAAAAAGAATATATCAATGTTATGGGACATTTGACCCCAATGTTATTAAAAAAAAAAAAATCCTAATTTTCTGCCATTAAATCTCAATTAAGTTGGTATTTTCTTCTCAGGTAAAAATTGATTAGAAATAGCCATTGATGTGAAAAGTGAATTGTTTATTTCATTTGATGCAATTTGTTATTGAATAAGAAAATTGGGTTTTATAGGGTGCGTGTCAATTTTTGCGTTATATATAAATTAGGCATGCTCACTAAATTTTTGATTGGATTATCTAAAAGAATGAACGTTTTAACATTAATGTACAATAAAATATGATATAAGCGGTTTGCACTATGTAGGGATAAAACGTTATATTTACTCGTCAATGTAACATATAAAATGAGGTAGATTGATCAGACACATGTGTTTACCACTAAGTAATGTTATGTTTCATAAACTTATGAACATTTATTAGTACACAAATCTGAAACATTCACTTAAAAAACTTGCCACACCCGTTTATAATGACGTATTTAGGTTGAAACGATTTATTTTATTATACAAAATCAAGACCAACTTGGCCAATCTATATGCCAGATCTTTAATTATTCGTAGAGTATGAAAGATGGGAGCTAAGTTGAAAATTGGTTAAGGATTCAATTTTTTGGGCTTGGACACCAACCAAACAAATAGGTAAACTTCATCTTACTTTTTGTTCAACCGAATTGTTAACATGAAGAAAAGGTGTCGCAACTCCAAAATGTTTCAATCAATTATTCTTCTTTTTACTTTCAAGTTTGTCTTTGGACATTAGCACTTTAAAATTACGTGTGGACATGCTCGAATTAGAAAGGTCCATTTCATGCGGGAAAGGGAGCCGTGTCAAATTAATTACATTTCATCAACTTTTGCTAATGCCTACATTCTCAATGATCTCATTTCCAATTTGTAATTATCAACTTACAATTTATATAAATTTAATTATATAAATTAGGTTAGGACTTAGGATCAACAGGTGTCACACTTTCCCACGCTATAACCATGAAGCTAGTCATAATAATATGAACTGAGAAATGCTAAGAAGATTTTATTAAAAGTGAGATTTTTCATGGATTTTCTAACACTGGATAGTTTTTATACAATCTTTTATAATGTTGACATGAGAATTAACGTTAAACGGTAAGATAACAGATAATCAGTCCATGTAGAGTCTCTTTAGCATTTCTCATAACTTGGTACCTTCCATTTTTTTTTTTCATTTTATTATTCTCTTTTAACTCCTTATTTTTTTCCTACCACTTAGTACTATGGTCTATTGGTATTCGTTTTCACTTGTAAGTAAGAGGTTTTAGGTTCGATTATCACAAAAGATGAATTTAATCCAAATTATTGTTATTTCATTATGACACTTAGTCTGCTTTCTTATTCTCTTATTGTAAATAATATTATTTATAAAAAAAAATTGTCATTTTATTCCGTAAAATAGAAAGTAAAACTAAAACTAATTTACCTTTTGGTGGAAAATTCCATGTAGGCAAAAGCTTCAGTCAAGTCAAATACAATTTCAACCTCCATAAAAAAACCCCTTGCCCCTTGGATATGATAAAGGTCCATAAGTAATAGGAATAACATAATCAAAATAAAATAAATAGTATATAATAAAATGGTGCGAGAGGGGTCAGGGGCCGAAGTGTCAATTTAAGTAGACGGCTTTTCCCATTTGACCGTCTAATAAAAACCAAAATTTGTTTGAATTAATTTAGATTATCTTGTTCTCATATTGCGAGGCTGATAAAAATTGATGGATTGGACGTGTCATTATTTGATTACTAGCAAACACACACAAGCTACGCAACAAAATACAGGTAGAAATCCATTCCTCACCAGATACAGCACATCAATCAAATCCAGTTATTGTCTTGGGAATGAATTTCAAAATCGTATCTCATACGATACATTATGAATTTATTTTCTGTCGTTAATGATTCACACAATAATAATTAAATGTGAAATGTCATATTAAAACTACAAGCTAGTTCTATTTTTAAAAAAAAAAAAAAATCAAAGATAATTCAAGTTTTAATTGATAGGAATACGAGTATGATATATTATGCATGTTTATTATAACTTCTACACAAATACTATTAACTACCAAACAAAAAACAAGTAGACACCAATTTTGTGCTCTACCTTTGGCTAGTTATAACAAAGTGTTTAAAATGCTATATAATTTCATATTCATCAAAAGAAAGATGTTGTATCATTATTTATTTTTGGAAAACCAACGTAAAAACTTTACTGCAAATTAAAATGTTGAGAAAAAAACTTTAGCGGCAAAACATTTTTCCATCCATAAACAAGCTTTGCTCCATAATTTTTATCTCCACCAAGTTAAAGGGGTTTGCAGCTTCAATACGTAATTTTCTTTCATTTATGAATAACGATGTAATTTGATTGTGCACTCTAAGCATATTACGAAATATTTATGAATATATTTTTGTTTGTCATAAATAAACATTTTTCTATCAAGTACTCCTAAAACACACACTCGTGCACAGCACCTTTGCTTGTGTATTCAAACTCGAGACGCACAGATAAGAACCCATCCTACTGTCTTTTAGAATATTAAACTACATGCAATTTTACTTTTAACTTTCACTAACTTCAGTAAATCACTTGCAGTCCGTAATAAAGTAAAGAATATTTCCATAGATTTGGCGCGCTTCTATTGAGGGTAGACACTGATTTAGAAATATGTGCCACGTGTCGGCGCTGCACGTGGGTGGCTCTTAGTGGGCGGTAAGAAATTGTCCAAAAGGCAATGGCTTTTTTATTTTGTTTAACTTTAACGTTAATTGGCCAATTAAATTACTCTCTATTTATACGGCGGTCTACCGTCTACTGTGCTTCACTATTATATCGGCCAATCCAAAATATCTCATGCTAAACACGTGGAAGAATGTTCGTCTGTATCGGCTTTTGCTTTTCACACTATTTTTTAAACCTCGAAACTATGAATTTGTTAAATCTGAATAAGAATTTGTACGGGCTTTTGCTTTTCACGCGATTTTTTAAAAAGAAATCTAATTAAAAGGGTTTAAAAACTTTGAGTTTTAATTATAAGGATAAAATAAAGGGTAAAATGAATAATATCATAATTGACTTCTTAGTGTAAAAATATGGTTTTTCGTTAAAGTGAACAGTACTGTGAGTTTTTCGTTAAAATTCTCTTTTTTAAACCACGAAACTATGAAAATTTTAAATCTGAATAAGAATTTATTGATGCATAAGAAACCATGACTAAGGCGTAGTTACCACCTAAAATCTTTGAGTCTGTTTTTGCTCATCCCCTAGTTGAAGATGACTATCAACAGTGGCGGATCTAATTGGAATCATAGGGTCCTAATGTTATAGGTTTAAGCAGTGTTTAAAATTTATTCGATACGATTGATATTTTTATGAAAATATCTAAAAAATTTATTCAAATTTCTTCGATACGGACCATCAACCCTGGTTTTGGGAATGGTGTGAGTGTCTATTTCACGGAAAGGGATCATTTCTGAATCCTTTCAACCAAATCCACTAAATCAAGGGGTCTGAGCCCTTGAAATTTGATCAAACGGCTAAAAATAGGGACATATTTTAAAAGTTATAATAACTTTAGCCGTTGAATCAAATTTCAAAGGCTTAGATCTCCTGATTTGATGGAAGGGATCTGAAGAGGATCTCTTTCCCTATTTCACTAATCATGGTTATCAATGCATTTAATTAAACGTACCACTTATTCCTTCATATATATATATATCCCATCAATTAAAGAGTTGATTACAAGCTTTTTAGCTAAAATGGTTATTGAGATTTGCATAATTCCTCATTTTGGTCCTTGAGATTTGAAATCATTAGAATTGGTCCATGAGTTTGTCCACAATAAATTGTTTTGGTCATTTCTTGAAAAATCTCAATAAAATAATAAAAATACCTTCAATTTTTTTCAAATTATTTTGGTTTATTGTTTATTACATTGAAGGTAATTTTGTTATTTGGATTCTTATTTAACATAATTTTTCACCGAATGACTAAAATGATTGATGATAGACAATTTCAGATACCACTTCTATTGATTTCAAATATCAATAATCTAAGTGAAGAGTTAGACAAATATCATAAACCATTTTGATTAAAAAACCCTTGATTATTTTATCTTCCTCTCTTATCGGCTTACAGTCTAGTCTTGATTAACTTTTTAGCCCCTCCTGCTACGCCCACAGAAAGGAAGAACACAACGGAGGAAGAAAAAAGAACCGAATGGCATAAAGGCAAAACGGACAGCAGCATCCGCTGGTAAAATGACATGACGTCGAATGCTACGGTGCAATGCACCGGAATTAAGTTTTTCTGAGTGCTGTAGCCGAGAGAGCGGAAGAGAATTACAGATTAGTGTAATTATGTGAATCAGTTCTTTAATTAATTTAATAGCAAATTTCCTTTCTTAATTAATTTAATTATTTGTTTTACATGACATGACATGATTATGGCCAAAAGGAAAAACATGAGATCTTGAATTTGATACTTTGTAAGCTGTGAATCTTCTTGATTCTCGCTACGGGTACGCTACAATTCCCAACTAGTCTGTTTTAGGCCCAAAAATGGTGGATAATCGTGATTCCCCATCAGTTTAAAAAAAAAAAAAGGTTAAGGTTGGGGTGAGGAAAAAAAAAACTCAAAATCCTTTCACATTAAGCATGGCCTAAGCCCTCGGATTAATAGAGCATACCCACATCTGATAGGTGCGTAGCAAACCACAATTGCTTGCTCAGATTAAAAACATCCCTAATCTTTGAATTATTTGTTATGAGATCTCCAAGTTATTTTTCCTTACGGAAATCATATTCTCTAGTTGTGATTTCGTTTCACTACCATATTTGGAAGACGAAGAATATAGATGACAACGATGATCTCACATAATACTGAAGTCGTAACATAATTATGTGCTACTTTTATAGGTGTTGTCTCATCAATATTTGAAAGTGGCACGATTATCCCTTCAAGATTCATTTGTCAAAATTTTGGCACATCTTTTAAGTGATATATTATAAATTAGCGTTCACTTATAAAGATTAAGAATTACTCAAAGATTGAGCGATGTGGCAATAACAAAATGCATGATGATAGAAATGAACAAAACAAAGAAGAAAACTCGAATGAGCACACTTTCATTCCCTCCATCTAAATGCAACTTATATAAACCATAAGATCCTGAAAATAATTGCACTTACATGTTGGGGGGGAATTTTCTTTTGCTTGGATCAAATGTAATGTGAGTGAATATTAGGAATACAAAACGATAAATGTGAAGTGCAAAAGAATATAAAGGTAGAATAAGGTTCATATGGAATCACTCAATTGCAAAATAAAGGCAAAAGCTCGCAAAAGGACTTGAAAGTGGGATTGCTCATAGCTATGCCCTATAGGAGGGTCGTACTCTTTTATATATAAATGAAAGCAAACCCTAATTAATTAGAATAATGGTTGTAAGTACGTCTTTGTGACTTTGTTTAGAGGATATTTAGCTCCATCCCAAAATTAAGATGATAAATTTTTCACGACACTCGAAACAACAAGGTCGTGTTATCCTCGTACCCTTATTAATTTAAGTCCTTCAATCTTTTTCAATTTATTCTATCAAACAACCGAAAATTGAAAGAAGTGTGTGAGAAGTAACAAATGGTATGTGGATACCACCATCCGGAACAATATTAGGCGGTGTTATAGTTTAACTGAAAGTATAACAATATATATATATATATATATATATTCAGTTAAGATGATTTCGACATGTGAACTGAAGACCTACATATGCTCCGATTAGAAGATGTGATTATGAGACGAAAGCTCAGGATAAAAGGGGTAGAAAAAGACCTAGAAAGACTTTGAAATAGACTATAAGAACAAATAGAGTAATTGGTGTTAACGTAAAACTTGACGCAAAATCGAGTGTCACATCATTTTCAGGTTCATACAACCGACTCCACTTATTGGAATAAAACTTAATTGTTGTATATACAATTTTATTAACATATAATTAATATAAGACATATCAATCCTATCGTTTATTGTATACGTAAAAAGACATTAATAACTTGTTAAAATTGATCGATAAGGACTAAATATAAACAAAGGAAACGCGGTGTAAACACGACCACGTGCAGACATCATGTTTAAGGATCTTAAGAAATTTAATTAACGAAAACAATTATTTTAAAATATTGCATGTCTATAGTCTAATCGACTAATCCAATTGGGTAAAGAAACAAACTTCAAAACCAAGCAACTCCACTATCTCTCTCCTCCAAACCACAAAAAAGATTCTGGCGTGCACTCGCTAATTTTATAATAAATAATTATTAACAGTAATAATCCTCTTTCATGAACCGAGGCACTCCAACGGGGCCCGACCACGTGTCGGTCATTTGTGTAAAGACGTGTGGTCATGTGGAGCATTATTGGATGCTGAGAAAGGTGTTTAATCAAGCTCACCGACTGATCGCAACTCGCACATATATACACATTTCAAACTTCCAAGTGCTCTACGGTCTGCACCCAACTTAACTTAATTACCAGATAATTAAGGTTAACGATGACGATGATGGTGAACAAGTCTCGTGTAGCTCATTGACTTGATTTTTATTTTATTTTAATTTTAATGTACATGTGTTTCTTTGTAATTATGCATGTCTGTTCAACTAAGTTAGGTGAGACCGTAAAATCATACAAAAATAAGTAATGACGGATTTAGGAGTTGAAATTTGAGTGGTTCTAATATTAAAGGTCTATGCTTTTTAAATAAAAACAGAGTGCGAAGTACGAAAAAAATAATAACAGTTTGTTCACTGAGGCTTTTTTTTTTTTTCGAACACTTGACGAGTGATATCGAGAGAATTTGTTAAGTGTAGTCCATGCAACCTATCGAGATATGGCTAACAAAAACACTTAGTAGGTACAAAGGGACTAGTACAAAATATTCAGAGAGTCTACGAAAAAAACTTCACATGTATACTTTCTGAACGCCAGGTGGTCGTGAGACCATCTAAGTCCTAGTGTGTATCCCTCTCTGAATACACGAATGCAAACGATATATTGTAGTTCATCGACAACATAATTCTTATCTATATCATAAACGAAAGAAATTTTTGGCCCATGGATTAAGTAGCAGCTTGAAAGGTTACCTATTCGGAAATCTTCGAATCTACATTTATTTTCAACTCGCTGAAGCATTTCGTCACTTACTACACTCTTCCTCGTCTCTGGATACCTAGGTATCCACCTTAAACCTTTCCTCGTTTGAACCTCGCCCTTATCACCAGATATAGTGGGGAATGTCTCATTTGCGTGAAACAAATTTTTGGTGGTGATGTTTTGGAGTGAAAGAGAAGTGAAATTGTGGAGAGAGGTGGCTAACCCATGTGACATGTATGGTTGTTTGCAAGACAATATAGCTTTGATTGCATGTTAGTTTGGGTTTATGCGTCAAGGCCCATTTCAACATCAATTTACATAAAGGCTATAAAAGTGGTAAACTTTGTGTTTAATCTTCGCTCACAATTGGAACAAATTCATTTAAGAAATGATTAATCCTCTCAATTTTGCTTTCACTGTTAGGGAAAGGTTTCATGTTTTTTTATTGGGAGTAGTAATGATTTAAAGTATTTATTTTACTATTCTGTACAAATTTTATTGCAAATAATTCATAAATTATCAACTACTTAATATCCAATTTTGACACGACATTCATTGTTTACGAGTAAAATTATTTCTAAACACGACGAAAATAGACTTGTTGGGAGTAGAAATGATTTCAAATATTTATTTTACTATTTTGTACAAATTTTAAATCGCAAACAATACATAATTTATCAACTACTTAATATCTTATTTTGACATGACATTCATTGTTTATGAGCAAAACCATTTCTAAACACGACGAAAATAGAAAGAAAACGTAATGGACAATCTTATTTATTTGTATTATATTTTTATTTTATTTTATTAAGACTGTATTTGAACTGTTTTAAGCATTTATGGGATCAAACGAACATGCATTTGACACACTTCAGAGCTTAAGGAAATAAAAGCATATAATATGCTACTAGACTCCTAAAATGAGCATTCAAAAAATCAAAAACTTACTATTTGTCAAAAGTACACAATTCTTCATTTTAAAGTGTATTTGAATTGTTTTCTGCCATTCATGAGATCAGTCTTTTCAAATTATCAATACCAAAACATATTGGGTCGTGTTTAACGATCTCGTATCATTAAAACATTATGCCTCCAACAAAATAAAAAAATTCATGCATCTAGCTGCGTATAGACATGCTTCGTGCAAACATACTCGCAATACATCACATAAAACGATGTGTGTGTGTGTATATATATATGTATGCATACAAAGTCGTATGTAACTCCACCTAAACTTAATCATCACATAAACCCATGTATATATAGTATAAAGGTTGCAGATATAAAGTGAAGATGCTTTTAAAATTATTGACAGATTTACAAGTCTGATGGGGATCTACAAGACCTAATAAGGCAACAAATAAGCGTAAAAAGCCAAGTGGAAAATGTCAATACAAGAGACGTATTCCTCGTGCCCTCCCTCCCATTTCCGCATTAACGAATAATCTTTTTCAAAAAATATTGGAAAAAAAAACAGAGAAAATAATTTTTTGTTAGGCAAACGTCATCTTCAAAACCCATCTTTTTCATTTCTTTATTTTCTGATGGAAATGGAAATATACGCATAAATACGACACTTGTAGATGCAGCGTATGAGATTAGCCTTATGTCGTATTCACAGATAATAAAAGTGGGGAACAAGAAACCCGTGAATTTCGCCAAACCAAAGCAACCGACTTTGATTAGAAAAACAAATACTCTGAAACCCTAAATACGCATGTAAAATGATGACTGCCTTCGTGACAGCGACTTTGGTCCATTAAGGCTATGGGAAAAGATCACACGCTGTGTAATGTATGAAAAAGAAACTAAGAATCTTTGAGTTCTTTATCTTAACACAAGTTTGAAGTTTCTCTTCTTCCTTTTACCTTTTACTTCTTAACAAAAGCCAAGAATTTAGATGCGTGTTCTCCGCCAATGAGAGAAAAAAAAACTTTAATGTTAGCGACCAGATCACGTCACTTATCGTCTGAACACATAAAATTACTCAATCTTAGGTGTGTTCTATCCTATTCCGCTTGTCTGCAACAACCCTAGATCCATTATTTTTAATGATGTGACTCGCTTGTTAGTGAGTAAAGTGGCCTTGCTTGTTAGCAATGATTTGATGTGGTCTCGCTTGTTGGCGGTGACATTACTTGTACCTAGTTTAGGTTTGTTGCGTCTGCTGTATTTGTGGTGGATCTAAACATGTACACTTATGTTAATACCGATAGTGTTTGTGGTAGCCAATTAGCTAGAGGTTTATCTTTATGCTTGTTTGTGCTAATTATTTCCATATTATTGAATTGGCAACTGAAGAATGCGTCCACGTGGTAACATTGTATCTGTTCATGTTTGTTAATGAAACCACTATCGCTTCTTGTCAAAAAATGGTATGACTCGAACATTTCTTATCAAATTAGTATGTATCTATCTAAACAAAACATCATTTTCTCATTTTATTTTATGAAGAAGTTGGGGGATTTCAATTTTTTTTTTTTATTCCAATATTTAATTCTTGAGTAGCCTCTCAAATCACCAACTTAATCTTGGATTGCTCGTCTAATAAATGGAGGACCATCATTCATCATCATGCATGTTAATAAATTTGTGACATTGGCAAATGTTTTATTCCTTGATAGCTTATAATTTAATAGGCTAAATTGTTTGCGAATATTGCATGCATGTTCCTAAGAGCAATTGTCAATGAAAACCTACAAATTTAATAAGGTGGTGGAGATGAATTATTTGGTTGGTATCATCGTATATACGTGTCTTCTAATTAAGTTTATAACAATTATTTGTAATATCCCGGAATCATATTTTGCATAAAACAAATAATTAATCAAAGAAGATAGATGATCAAGTGGGGTTGAGAGACAAACCATGTTGCAATTACTTTTTTCTTTTAGCAATTTACTACACGTACATGATGCCACGCCAACGAAAGCTAGTCGGAGAATTTTATGCCGATGATTAAGATGATTTCCAATTTAATTAATCACATAAAACAGTCTAGGGTTTATCTCAACTTGATGCATGTTTAAAGCTGAAGAGGTGGTGCGCGCATGACAATTTTTTGTTCTTTGATCAAGTTGAAAGTCCTAACAATGTTATAACATGATCACTTGAACACATATTGTACATATTTTTTTAATCGTAATGAATATCTCATGTTTTCAAAACCAAAGTTAAAAAAAAGAAGATATATATTTATTTTATACGCACGCTATATGAATTATGGAATACTTTACATTGTCAAGACCATGTCTTTGTTTGTTGGTTTGTTATTATTTTGTTGGTTTTGTTTCTTTCTCGCTTTTGTAGGACGATTAAATGGTGTTGTAAGTTGCCAAATTTTTACATGAGATGGCATCCATATTCTCAGCGTCTTCCTCATTGTGCAGAAGTGGGGCATCTTCAGCAGTTTATTCTCATCACATGGTCCCGATGATCATCAACTTGTTATTGTTTTAGTTTGATGAGGTTTGAGTTTGTTGGATTCCCTAAAAGCTAGGGTTAAATTTCTTGGTAAATACTTGTGATATTAGTTTGATTTTCGTTGATTAGTGTAACCGTTTACATTATATATAAGGAGAAAAACTCAATAGTTTCGATGTATTGCATGCAACAATTGTCCATGCATTACTTTTCTCGTCACGCGAGAAGAGGTATAGACGTAGTCATTGCATACAACCGGCATCTGCTAGAGTTTTCCAAAAGGACAGCACATAAGCACATTAATTAGTACAACTCATGATGGATTGTTAGTTAGCTATTTTCAAGTCTATGCATTCAATATACACGCATCATTGTGGTTTTGAAGGGCTTGTTGTGTAACTAGTATTAGAAAATTGAGAAGACAATTCTGATTTTGTTTCGACCTCTTCTTTGCTGCTGATTCTGTGTATGCAGACATTGCGCAGAGAGAGAGTTGAATACTTTTGTTTTCGAGTTTTCTTTTCTTTTCCTGCCAATGCTTTTCAAAGTTTACAACATCTAGAACATGCATAAGGTTGGCGCAATCTGAAAACCTTGATTAGATTGATACGAGAAACTGATGATTGGGGATTTGCTAATTTTCAACAGAAGACCAGGCTGTAAGCACGGTGTCGTGGAGACGAAATTATGATTACGAAGAAGAAGAAAAAGATTGTTCATTGTATACAAAAACCGGAATTCTATTATGATCCGATGTACTGAATACGTCAACGCATGCTATAAAAAATCATATAAAAGCAAGAAAAATGCAAGAAAAAAATTTGGAGTGTGCTATTCACACATCTCTTTTTACTTTTCACACACCCTTTGTTAATTTATATCTTTTGATCTTCTTCAATTCATCCGATCTAACGGTCAAAAATTAAAAAGATGTGTTAGAAGTAAAAAGTGATGTTTGGATATCACATCCAAAAAACTTACTTGGGAGATCAGTGTGTAAACAACAACACCATATAAACAGTAATTTTCTTTTACAATTTAATAAAATTAAACACTGTAGATAAAAATTGGGTTGGGCTAGAGTGCAAGAGGGAAACTTGTCAGGGCCCAATTAAAGCCCATTGATATGATTAGAAGATAGGAATCGGATTACTACTAGCTGGATAGAAGCATCAACGAATTATCAATGTCATTGACGACCAAAAACTGCTTTTTGGGAAATGTGGGTGGAATATTTAGCACATATGCTTAGGAAACAAATACCAAATTGATATGAGCCATTGAGAGAATGGGTGCAATTACAACTCACATTGAGTCAGATGGATACTACGAATTGAATAAAAGAATATTGGACGAGACTGTCACATACTGCAACCCCACTCGTTTAAGATGGGATCGCATTATCTCTAAAATGCCGGTTGAGGCAGTCTTACTCAAGACTTTTTCAAATCAAAGACATTGCTCGATCCCTTTGAGGTTGTAAAGTTCATAGATGGCTACTTATCGTAATCCAATGTCAAAAGGAGAAGTACTTGGTTGTCCACTAGGTGTTTGGTGAACATGACTGCATTGGACGACGACGTTTCAATGTCATTACAGCCACTCGTGAAAAAGAGCACATATTAGCACATAATCCGTTCCCATTGGTCATGGCGACACAATAGTAAATGTAGCCTATGTGGACTGGATGACGTTTCAACGTCATAGGCCTAGTTGGCCCATTTCTCGCCTACAAAAAAAAGAAAAAAAAGAATGGTGCCTTGTTATGATCCCACATTGGCTACACCAGAAATGGTGTAGTGGTACTTAAGTTCTTGGGCCCCCCCCCCCACCTATCAAGCTAGTCTTTTGGGTTGGGCTCATCCTTTGGGCTTGAGTATCTAACATTGGTATCACAGCTTAGTTCCCGACATTGCGGAGGGGGCGATCTGGAAAGGGCTACCTTAGCAGGACGACCAAAGGGTGCGCCACCATTAAGAGTGAAAGCCAACAGAGTAAGGGCCGCCCTGGGCGTGGGGTCTTCCGAAGGGTGGTGTGATGTTATGATCCCACATCAGCTACACCAAAAATGGTGTAGTGGTACTTAAGTCCTTGGGGTCCTCCCACCTATCAAGCTAGTCTTTTGGGTTGGGCTCTTCTCTTGGGCTTGAGTACTTAACATGTCGGTCCAAAGAAGGAACTTATACGTCTGCATGGCATCTCTCATATCGGGTGAAACTAATATGAGCTCGGTTGAAACTCAAAATAAAAATTTCATACTTTTGCGAGAATGGTTTAACTAGGCATGTAGTCAGGCGCCCCAATCTTAGTTTCCTCCTTAAAAGGTGTGTTATCAAGGCCCCTCTCCATGAAAGCTCGAAAATATGTTGCTTTAGCTCAATAAGAGGACATATCATACAATCAACATTGTCTCAGCTCGACCGAGATATCAAATTAAACTGAATTTTTGTGTAACTAGCTCCGCAAAGAACTCGTCATGTACTCCTCCATAATTAAAAAAACAAAAGAGATTGCAGCGTCATTATTTTTTGGAGTACTAACAACAGTTCCGTTATAAAACATCCGAAAACCAAAACTTTGCACTGCTTACAAATTTATTGGGCCTCTAGTACGATTTTTGGGTCAATAGTTGGGCATACAAAACTTGGGCCTCATAAAATAGTCAAAGCCCTATAATGTTGAACCGAGCAGCGTGCTTTTGGTTGCTGACGCGAAATGCGTTGTTGGACGGCAGATTTGGTGGGAAAATGTGGAACCGCAAATCGGCGCTGATCGGACTGATCAGTTGCTTTTACTTTCACTCCGTATTTCTGACTAGTTTCGTCGCCGCTTCTTCTCCGGACCCGCTGCTCGGATCTGCCCGCGTCGTTTTTCAGGTAAAAAAATTAAATTTGAAAACGTAGCAGAAATTAATGTGAATTTTTGGGGACGAATTTGGATTTTGATCTTGTGTGGTTTTACAGACCAACTATGGCGACATCGAATTCGGGTTCTACCCGACCGTCGCGCCGAAGACGGTGGAGCACATTTTCAAGCTGGTCCGTCTCGGCGGCTACAACACCAACCACATCTTTAGGGTTGAGAAAGGGTTCGTCGCCCAGGTGGCCGATGTGGCCAGCGGAAGATCGGCTCCGATGAACAAGGAGCAGCGGAGAGAGGCGGAGAAGACGGTGGTCGGAGAGTTCAGTGACGTTAAGCATGTCAGGGGCATTCTTTCCATGGGAAGGTACAGCGAAGTTTCTATCTTTCTGATTTACTTGATTAGAAGCTTGAAGTTTTCGCATTTCGTGTCTTTAATTGTGAATTACTATCTGGGTAATTGTTATATTTGCTAATTTTTTTGTGTAGATATGAAGATCCGAACAGCGCCGGATCCTCCTTCTCAATGCTGCTTGGAGATTCCCCTCATCTTGATGGGAAGGTAAGCTGACTACACTTTGATAACTTTGTTGAATCGGGCATGATCATCGATAATGTGTTGACATAAGAAAACCTTTTCAGTATGCAATATTTGGGAAAGTTACTAAAGGTGATGAGACCTTGAGAGCGCTTGAGGAACTCCCTACACATCAGGAAGGGATTTTCGTAATGGTATGCTTATCCCTATGCTATTCGCTTATTTTCAATTTCGATAAGATCAATTCGTCAATCCTGTAAAGTTAGAATCATAGTTTTCCTGTGTTAGTTATGTAGGATGGTATCATAGAACAATATAGCTAGTTATTTTCACCCTTCTAAGATGTTTATAGATATTGCCATTACATTTGATGTGCAAATATATTAATGGATTGGAGTCAAAACTAAATATTTTCGCTTTGCTAGGGAGCTTGACATCTAATTGGATGAGTTTCGTATAATTAAATTAAATTAAAATTCTTGTTATGTGGAGTCAGATGGTTTTCTCTCTGGGGTATAACTGTTTTGTCATCATGCTTGGACTATTGTACTTTTACCCTATGCACCGCAGGTAGTGTTGTCTACCAGTGTCTCTGGCATTAGTATTTCCCCGGACATTGTCTGCATTGGTTGCATGTGGTAAAGTAGGCGTGCTTCTTACTATGGCATATATGCTCTGGGTCACAACTCTTATATCCATTTGATGGGAGAATCACTGCATTCTTGGCTCGGAAATGATTATTCTCTTTAATTCATTTTCTTATTTTTCCCTCCAGCCCACCGAGCGCATTACAATTCTGTCAACATACTACTATGGTGAGAATCAAGCACCCTTTGATTTTGTACTAGTTTCATATGTATTGACACTAGCTTTAACGACTGGATAAAGGAGCAGCGGTAGGTTTTTTGAAAAGTTTGAGGCCAAAGGCCGAACCGTGCACATCTCAGAAGTTCTCCGTTTCGTTACTTTTTTCCTTGTTGATACATGTCTGCCATGTGATGACGCGTCCAGTGTTGTTGCATTGGAGATTTTAATGATCACATTTAAATCACTTAAATCGGTTGAGTTTACATTGTGTTTATGGCTTGATCGTGTTACTTTTAGACACCGAGATGGAGCATTGTGAACATGAGAGGTCTGTTATGAAGCAGAGGCTTGCTGCATCTGCTGTTGAAATCGAGAGACAGGTAAATAAGATTTACAACGAACACGATCCTTTCAAACATCCAAATGTAAACATGGACTTATCAAGTGTCATATTTGTAGAGAATGAAATGTTTCCCATGACATAGCTAGCAAATATCGGAAGAAGAGATGCTGTGGTTGCTATCAATCATCGAGATATCCGCTGTATGTTGTCAAAGAGCAGTGTACAAGGGGGTGAGGAAAGTTCAAAGATCCATTCGAGCAGATGGGAGACAATATTTGTGGTGTCAATCGAGTATCTGCCACTGAATACCTGACACTAAAGCTGTCTCTGTAAGTGAACGTCGAAACCTGATGTTGTACTGGATGTTGATAATGGCTGACATGTTCGTTGAGACCACACACTTGATTCGTAATGTTAGCTGTGGAAGCAAATAATGGATTTATAGTGTCTTAGTGTCGATAGTATTAGTCTTCACTGTTGTTTGTATGGAAAGTACTTCCGTGTAACGAGAATGTAACTATGACGGTATCCCAAGTCCAAGTTAATCTTGATCTTGAGATACCGCCTATAATGACATATGTTGCTAAGTATCATACCCTAGACAAGAAAACTCTCGACTTATAAAATAAGATTGAAATGTTGCTTGGCGCCTTGGAAGTCGGATTTTTACTCGAGAGGACAGTGAGAGTTGAACTCTTGTTAGCCTGGTTTTTACCACCGAATTGATGAGAAATTTGCAACTTCGCGTAACAATCGGAAACATGTCAAATTCCTAACAAACCGGATATACCCTAGTGCTTTGAGGCCGTAAAATGTAGGGTGGTAGATTGAGCCCACAACTTTCACCGTAACGACGAAAGCGAGACAGTTAGATTCAGTTGACTGTCGATTTGGGTCAAAACCTGTCGCTGGCCTTGCAGACAAGGAGTCGTGTGTTGCATGGTGAAATTTATCGAGCAACCTAATCTACCAGGAAGGCCGCAGATGGCCTACACCAACATGGGAATCGCTGTCAGTGGAGAGTCACATGTCTGAATCTGATAAGAGTAGGCAAACTGTTTGGTGACGAGGAAGATGGTAACCCACCCTCCCTCCCTTTGTCTTGGTCAATATACCAAAATCTCTCCCCCTCCCCCTCCCCCATGTGTTCCAAATATTCAGACCCATGGAAACATAACGTGCTGCCTGCCACTGATGAAGCCGAAATCGGATTTCAACACCGACTAATCAATAAGAGTTTAAGGGCATGTTTACTTACGAGGGAATAGTGATTGGGATCATTTTGATTATTGGGTTCCTTGTGTATACTAGAATATGGGTATGAGAATCGCTTTACTTCGTAAGTTCTCTAATTCTTTTTTTCTCTCATTTATGTTAAGTAAACATACTAAAAGGAGCGCACCTAAGTAGAAAATTATATGAGTTCATTAGATTAATTTAGGCAAGTTGGCCACGATAGTAATGTCTCCAACATTGCATCCAAGTTCAAACCGTTTTCATTAATTAGACTAGTTTAGAATGTCGTCCTACCTAAAAAAAACCAAGGATATGTCAATTGGTTAGGAGCTGCATTCCAATCCATCTAGCATTTTTCGATTTAGGGTTGCAAACTTGAAATGAGTACACGTGAACAACACAAATCGAGTGACGTGGAGTCGTGGAGCATGTGTGGTCTTCCGCTTCACACATGGGACAACCTACTATAATACCATAAAGGAAGTTAAGGTTCCATTATAAACTCAATTGGCAATATGGGAAGTGGCCAGTTCTTTAGAAGCACACGGAAGGTCTCTTTTCTCCTCGTGTGGGACTCACTCTCAACAGTTGTGTTCCAATCAATGGACTCGAGCAGGCTTGACTTTTGGGGGGAGATGGAAGTCTTACGATGTTTCAGAAGCTTGAATGTCCCCAAGTGATGGAAGACAAACATACCCACATGGATTTAAAACGCCAACACACAACAAAGTCGTCTACGTGAATTAATTTATGGCCTCAATCTTCTTTAACCCCATATGTAATTAATTGCATCTTTTGGTTGGTAATTCACTCGACCCATCACATGGAACAACGAACGTTTTTTTGAATTTGTTTGGGGTGTTCCACGTGAATCCAATTTCATCCCAAGCTCCACCTCCAGTTGATTGGAGACAAAACAGAAAAACGACTAAACTCATAAAAAGTTAGGACCCAAAATCCCATGTTGGAACAACAGCCTGTGTCGGGATAGTTTCTTTACGTGCTGGTTTTGTAAGGTAAGTTGTAGTACCATCCAGCTCGTATCAATTGGTATCAGAGCAGTGCCGCCTGCAAGAGAGAAAAATGATTACCATCAATGTCGACAAAGTGGGCCGATGAGATTTGTTTTTTTTTCCTTTTCTTTTTTCTCTAAAAAGAGGATCAACTGATGGTTTTATCACGGTAGTATACTCTTTGGGGGGTCAAAAAGACTCACAGAGACATTTCAATCTCCTATGGTCATCATCGTGTGATTCACTAGTGTCAATAATCGAATCCAAGACGTATCGTATGAAATACGAACCTGAAATTCATTCCAACCACTGGGCCCGGAACTAGTTGGCTGTTATATTGGCAATGCCACATTCCTGTTTAGGTTTGCCAAGTTCATTCACGGCATTTGAAATAATTGTCATGTGACTAGGTTTTGGCATCATCTAATTGGAAAAAAAAAAAAAAGAAAAAAAAAAGTTGCTATGTTGCTTGAGGTCTATAAGGCCGAGGAAGAAGAAGTTGCTATGTTCTCACAAGTAGGATCAAATTAACAGAAAAAACAGGAGAATTTGTGAGTGTTTCTATCCTACTGAAGTTTTTTCCCATGTCCGGGATGTGAGTACTACGTGTTTTCTCTCATAATAACAAGTTTTCAAACAATTTTTCATTTTATCCTTTAATATTTTTTTTCTTTTGACAAATGATAATGTTATTAGGTTGAATTGTTAAATTTTAAGAGCAAGGAAGATCGGTGGAGATCCAACTTGCACCAAAACCATAGATATTATTATTTCCTGCTATTGCACTAAACCGCCTTCTACTTTTATGGCTATTTAATTAGTGCATTATGCATATGCGAAAAATAAAAATAATTGTTTGAAATTCGAAAGGGGTAGAAGCCACCGGAGGCGTATGTGGTCAGTTAAATTTGGCTCCTCTCAACTTCTTCACATGCACGCGCATGCCTTGGTTTTTTCCTCTGGTTGTAATCCTTTGATTGATTGTTATCTTCCCTTCTCGTGCAAGTTAAAAGTTAAAAAAATAAAATAAAACCACTACAACGTGCAGTAAAAACCGCAATCGGGATTTTACAGTGATGATCCCAAGCCGCAGCCAACGACTAACGTCCACAGACCAACTTAATTACCAGGAAGCACGCCAGAAAAAAAGTTTACATATTATCCGGGGATTTAATACTTTTTTGTCTTGGAAAAGTAGAAAAATTCCCGATTAAGTGCAGTTTGTGACCCCTAATATTTTGATTATGTTTTCTTTTATTATTGTTGGTCATATTTCGACATGAATATTTCACTTAATTACTTGCATTAAGATCTTCAGAGTATATATTGGAGAAATACTTTAAGTAAAATAGCGCAATATCATTAAGCTGTGCTTCTTGATGGAGTTTTGAGCTCCCATTGTCCCATATCAGGAAACAACCATTTGTCAAAGGCCTTTATATAGGTCAAGTCATTTCTATTAGTACTTAGGTGTTGGACCATTTGTAATGAAGATTAAGGTTTGGGCCACTAATTGTGTAAATTAGGCTTAATGATTAGACCATAATATTAATATTAATTAATCAAGACAAGGCCCTGGGGCAATGAAATTAAAATTAATTTGATCAATTAGTTTTAATTTCAAATTAAGTTTTTAATTAAATAATTAAAAACGTTTTGATGAATGTATAGCTTCAAATACATCCCATCCAACATGTATTTGAAGAGGTATAAAACAACCTATATAACTGGAGTCCTCAGTTCCATCGAAAATCATCTTTTCCTTTTCCTTCTCTTCCGTACAAACTTTCAAGAGAGTAAACACACAAAGAAATTCGCTAGAATTCTAGAATCCAATGCGGGTTGTAGAATTAGGCAGTTGAATCCTGGTTGAGCAGACGTTGTAGAACCACAAGTACAAGAGTGAGACAGAAATACAGTTCGAATGACATAGCTTTTACACTAGTCTCTACCTTATGTAATCAAGTTAGTATCATTGATATTCTTATATTAATTTCTGTATTTATTGTGTAATTTCATTATGCACAGTAAGTATTTTTGGTAAATAAAATATTAGAATTTCAAGTTCTGTTTATTTATGTTATTTTTATTTATTTCTGAATTGTTCTCCAACACTTCTTTAGTCTCACTCTCCTCCAACCAAACCATGGACGGGGTAGTTCTATTACTAGAATTATATATTAGGTCAACAAGTTGATATGACACTCGTATTTCAAATTATTTTATCTTATAACGGGTGAAAAACTAGTTCAATAGACCAGTCAGACCAACCAACTAGTAAGGTTGCTCTCACAATGTGTAAGACTCATCTATTAATAATTGTACTACATCAGGTTGGATGTTCAAATGTATGACAGTATGTTGATGCTACAAAAGATTATATTATTTAGATAGTAAAACAGGAACAAATTATAGGCGAGAGGTCTTATAAAACAGTGTCCGACCAAAATGTCTTGTAGAAGTTTTTCTCCATTAACTATATAGTATAATTTGTAATTTTAATCTTGATGTGAAGAATCTATCCATGGCCCCAAAAAAGTTATGCTTGAACTTGAAGGGTAAACTGCTAAAAACATGCTTAATCTATACTTTATGTTCTTTTTTAGTTAGGGTTTAAATTGACAAGAAGCATGCTTAACTCATATAATGAAAGAATTACAATGAGTAGTAAAGTAAAATTAGACAGATTTTTTGCCTGGGAATCCGGTTCAGATTTTGACACAGACGAGACCACACGTGCCATGCTCTAAACCCAAAGTTCTTAATTGGAGATCAGCCGGGTCAACATTCAACAATGTCATACAACACACACTTGCACAGTACCCACCTTGGAGCTTTCAAAACAAGGAAAAATGGAGGAGAGGAGCCTCCCTCACCACTCTCAAGTCGTAAACAAATTAATAAACAAATACTTGAATAAATAATGTTGTAGAAGGTACAGATGTTAATTAAATAATTAATTAAAATGACAAACAAGTAATAAGATAACATGGCCTTGCGTGCTGGGACTGACACAGAGAGGCCCGTGTAGGGCGATAACAAGCACATTCCTCTTAATTCACTTGAACTCTAATCCTATTTTGCAGATACTTGATAAAAAGACAGTATGGCCGGTGTATCTCCATTTTTCCATCCCTTTCCCCATTTCAGAAAATACAAACTTATATGATACGAGTACATTATTATTGTGATTTATACTATGTTAATTATACAACATTGTGCATAAATTCTTCTCTATATAACGTTATATATTAACGTAAAATAGTATGTCAAGAAAATTGCTCTCCGTTGTGATCCCCACTAGATTTTTATTTTAAATTCAAATTTATCCCTTTCCATCGCTCTCATTCCTCAACCCCTATTAATATCAACCCTTAAGCCCACTGCTTCTTCCCATGCAATTGTCTCCCTGCTCCTCAAGCATTTCTTCTCTGCTCTCTCTCTCTCTCTCTCTCTCTCTCTCTCTCTCTCTATAGAATCCTTTTTAAGTATCACCTCGTTATCTCATTCTCTCTCAGCTCATACTTTCTCGCTCATTTGTCTCTCAGGGTTTTCCTCATTTTTCTCGTTCTATTAATATAATTGATTCTAGAAGAACTTCAAACTCTATTACTATTATTCCTTCTGAGCTTTGAGTCTTTTGTCAGAACTTCAAACTCACCAAATATTTGACAATGTCGAGCAGAAGGTCCTCGCGGTCGAGGCAGTCGTCGAGCAGGAACAACAACAGTATCAGTGATGAACAGATCACTGATCTCGTAACCAAGTTACAGCAGCTTCTTCCTGAGATTCGCAATAGGCGTTCCGACAAGGTATATATCTATCTATACATACATACATATATATATATATATATATACATTTATTATTTTTTGTCTTTTTAAAATTAAATTTCATTCTTCCTGGCTCTCTTTTAGCCTTTCATGTTTGTACTATAATGTTGCAAAAATTAATGCAATTATTCTTTTATGTGGTCTCCGTTTGGTTAGATAATATGTAGAGGTAGATAAGTCACACTCGTCTCATTTATTCTGTAGCCACAACTTGCGGTGTGGGACTCCAATTGTTCCCCCATGCCATCCTCACCAGACCCTCTCATTTGTATATGTTTTTTATCTAAATTGAGATGGATAATTATGTATGTGTAACTGATGATTAGTTATTATGTATTAATTTGTTAGTTAATGTGTTCGGATTAATATTTTGGCAGGCGTCGGCGTCGAAGGTTTTGCAAGATACTTGCAATTATATTAGAAACTTACACAGAGAGGTGGATGACCTAAGTGAGCGCTTATCAGAGCTTTTGGCCACGATGGACATCGATAACGACCAAGCAGCCATTATTAGGAGTTTACTTATGTGATGATATATGTACGGAGCTTCCTAATTAATCATCAGTGTTAAGTACTAGTACTGTTAAACTCTTTTTGTCGTGAGCCTTTGATGTATAACTCTGGCTAGTTAGCTAGCTAGGGTTTGCTCATTAGGCCAGAAGAAGGAATTTTTTTTTCTTTTCAGTCCATATCTATGCTATTACTTCGGACGACCTGTAGTATGTATTTAACTTTGGTAATAATAAAAGCACTTTTAGACTTCTACTTCTTTTAATTTGTGTTGGATCATATATATATATATATATGTATGTATGTATGTATGTGTCTATATATTATATATATAATTCAAATCGCAATAGCTATATCCATTCGGAGAAAACTGAATTTCTTAATATTATTTGTTATATGTGATTGTGACACTTATAGTGAATATTTAGCCTATATATATATACACACAACCGATAATACTATTTGTATATATAAAATTATCAGTTCTGATGATACAATTCCGTAATAGGGATGAACTATATTATTTTATGCAGAACATACTTGTATAAGAGACTACGTCAACAAATACAATATTTTTCTTACATCAACAAATATGATATGATAGTTTGTGTGTCTATATAATATTATTCATCAACAATACATGTGATTAGTTAATTGTTGAAATATTATTCATCACTTTTTTTATACATTAAAATGTTAGATGTGGACTGTAGAGGCAGCATCGAGGCTGACAATGTCGATCGAACATGTGACTTTACCGCACATATAAATTTACTTACCACTTTGGTAACAAAATAATTACAGTGAATTTGTTGTACTAATTAATTAGCAGTAGGACGATTATGCCATGACAAATAAACATCATGCAGAAAATCTCTGGTGTGTTCACATTATCAACTGTGAAGCTCGTTGAATATACGACAACTCGATCTCAAAGAATTCTCATGCTCGTCCTAATTATAAAGTTAATTGGAAGAGCTAGGCACGGAAGAGTTACCTAGTCATTACTTCTATAGGTGATTACTCCCCTTCCACCAATGGTGATGGAAATGAAGGAATGTGGAATGGTTTTACAAGTAACAGTCGCTAATTAATCTAAACTACGAGAAAAGAGAACGAAATAATGGTGTAGAGTGAAAAGCGTTGTTCTAACCAATTTAGCTAAACCAAAATATGCAAATGTGGAAGGGTTAATTACATAAAATAAGTAAAATACAAGAGTTTAATTAAACAAACAAGTATGATATTGTTCAATGTGATTGTCACACACTGCCTTATGACGTTATTATTTCACTCATGTTATATACTTTTAATATAATATGGGAATTAGTAACATCATTTATCGGTGTAACACTCAATATGTTTCCATGTGAAAACGTGACCTAACTATTACTATAGAGTGGTGTCAAATTCAAGGCCAACTGGGGAATGTGACTTTCATACCAAATTAATTTGGTAATCGGTGCTGTCTTACACGTTATACCATGTAAACTGGACCTAAATATTACTGTAAGATCGATAATATACCAGCTACAGCTATAGCTAGATGCTCATGCAGAGAACCGAAAACTTACCATTTACTTGTGTAGTTTCAACTTTGAACACAAGAATATAGCTCACAGAATTAGTCGAAAATCTACTGCCTTGCATCACATGGAAAGAACAGCTTAATTAAATAGCGAATTACAAAGGAGATTGGTTTAGATTGAACTAGTACTTTTAAAATGACTTAAAGTGTTTTTGGTGAAAATATTTTTCAAACCAATCCTTAGTAGAAATTTACGTGAATCCCCAAAAAACACTTTAAGTACTTCCTGTAGAAATACATATATGTTGTAGAAAGATAAATAGCTTATATTAAATGAAATCAAAGTCTAATCGTTTCTAAAGTACCAAAATTCAAACTCTAGAAGAAGAAAGAGTGGAACTTAATTTGCATACTCCCCGGGCGCTACTCCCGCAAACATGATATTGAAAACAACATGGATAAGACATCACATGGTCTTTCAACGTGACAAACATATTTCTTATTTTGAAAAAAAAAAAAGAAATATCATAAGAATTGGTCATTCTATTGGTTCACATACCATACTCGATCAGAAATTGCTGAATTCGTTCATTCAACTGACTACTAATGAGCTCACATCAAATTTGAACTCACTAACGTACGTTTTAACAATCAATTGCTCACACGTAATGTGAGACGTCTAGAAGCTTTCATCATTTAGCGTAAGAAAATCTTAACAGTTACATGTAGCTAAGTTTTTACACCCCCTATGCTAATAGTTAGAGCTTTAACCTTGTATTGAGATCTAAGGATCAAACGACAATCTCAAGTAAACAGTTTCTACAAAACTAGAGCGTACCCCTCCCGAGAGGTATGGCAGCGTGCAAAGGTTTCGTCACGCCACATGGAAATTGGGCCTCGAGTCTAAATACGTTGCGGTCCAAATCTATCCATAGGCCATGGGCCTTGCCAATTTGCTGGGTTGGGCTTCATTCTTGTAAATGTACTATGTATTGGGCTTTTCCATGGCCTTTCCTCCAATTATTTCTGGTATAGTCGTAAATCAGTTGGATTACCATTCTTCATTATTAGTTATGAGATGAAAGTAATTTACTTACCTAATGTGAAACGCTAAGGATTTTGATTAGATTTATCTCTAGTGAGATGATTCACCGTAGTCTCACTAAAACTCTCCAATCGCCATTAGCAAGTGTGACCGCTCTGCTATAAAACAAATTTTTTTTTGTCTATGTCTAAGTTTAGATATTAAAAGGGGTTACCTCCTCCTCCACTTCTTCTGATACACATCGATCAGAAACACCTACCGAGCTCAGGTGCGTTAATCAATTCATCACGCTTTATGTTTCTCATTATTTTTCCGATTAGTGTTTAAACCGTGTGAAGATTATGTAATTGATCAATTTCTGTGATGGAATTGGGAATTGGAAAGTCGGAAGATTAGATTGTGAGATTCTGGTTGGAATCTGGATTAATTGGACTAATTAGTCTTTAATTTCATGAAATTCGTAAGATTTTCGGAGAAGATGAGTTCTGGTGGATACGCCGTCGAAGTTACGGGTCTGTCCCCAAAAGCAACGGAGAAAGACGTCTACGACTTCTTCGCCTTCTCTGGTTCCATCGACCATGTCGAAATCGTCAGGTTTCGTGGTGTTTTTAGCATTTTTAATATTTTTTTTGTCTTAATTTTTTTTTGGGATATTAATTTGTTGTTATTTTGGGGAAATTCAGATCGGGTGATTGTGGGTGCACTGCATATGTGACGTTCAAAGATTCTTATTCTCAGGAGACTGCTTGCTTGCTCAGTGTGAGTATTTCTTCGACTCGTCGCAACTGATCATTCATGTGCTCGCTTCCTATATTTCGTGATCAACTTCTGATTAATGCACTGTGCATATAAATATAGGGCTCGTTTGGATGTGCTTTTAAAATGATTGAAAACGCTTTTAGAGAAAATGTTTTTGGATTCTAAAAGCATTTAAGGGCTTTCTGCAAGAAGCACCGATTATGTTCTTCTTCCAAGAAGCACTTTAAGTGCTTTTCTAGAATTTATTTTCATTTTTACGAATGATTGGTTCTAAAAGCATTTTCACCAAAAGTGCTTTCAGTTATTTTAAAAACACATCCAAACAGGCTCATAGTCTTTAGTTATTCTGTGTTGGTCTAGAGCGATGAATACAGCAGTGCTTATAGCTCATTTATGCCGGCTGTACCATTAAAATTTGTGTAAAACTTGCCAAATGCTTTCGACAATATATTTGTGCTTATAGACATAGCAAGAGAAAGATACTTTGACAGAAGAATGGTAATTATACTAAACAATTCAGTGATGCAACTTTCATGGTATCCAAATGTAGCCTAAGCTTTCAAGAAACAGGGCTCAACTGGTGACCTTAACTAAATAAGTTGTTGCTTGGATGAAAGGGCTTCCGAGTTATCATAGTATCCTTCTAGCCGGAGCTTGTTTATATCACATCCCGACTACCTCCTGAAACATTTACTTAAAGCTGTATTTATCATTATGGTTTGGTTATATGGTTTATCTGGTTTACTAGTCCTTTATTAACTTAAACCTGTCTGTGCTCGTATGTGATTTCTTACTGATGCCTAGATGATAACGCTTGTGTGGTTTCTTATGATCTTTCTCGCCGATTATTTGTGAGCGTTAATTTATGTTTTCCCCTTAAAATCTTATTGTCTCAGGGTGCTACAATAATAGATCAAGCTGTGTGCATAACGCGTTGGGGGCACTATCAAGATGAATTTGACTTTTGGAACAGGCCTCGGCACGAAGATGAAACTTATTCAACTGTATGTATATTTTGTTTCTTTCTATCGCACAAATATTTGGTTTCTCGTTTGTACATTTTCGCACATGTGCAAAACTGTTGTACTGAAAAAGGTTTGCAAGAGTAAGCGATTAGTATGTCTTGGCAGCCTCCACAGGGAAGCTGGAACATTCCTAGTGCCCGAGAAGTGGTGAGTGGGGCTCCGGAAGTAGTCTTGACCATGTTGGCCAAGGGCTTTGTGCTCGGAAAAGATGCATTAACCAAGGCAAAATCATTGGACGAGTCTAACCAAGTCTCGGCAAGTGCAGCAGCTAGGGTGGCTGAACTGAACCAGAGATTTGGCGTCACCGATAAAATTCATGCAGGGGTTGGAGCTGTTAAGTCTGTGGATGAGAGGTATCATGTGTCAGAGATCACCAAATCAGCAATATCAGAGACAGGAAGAAAAGTAATGAACAGTAGCTACTTTTCTAACGGAGCTCTTTGGGTGTCGGATGCTCTAAACCGAGCAGCCAAAGGTGCTGCTGATTTGGGAAATCATAATGCTAGGCAGTGAGGTATTTGATAAAATCGTATACTCGTGTTTTGTTTGTATATAGAACAGAATACTGTAGCCGTTTCGTACTTTCGATACCTTGGTGGTAGTATAAATAATGCTGTACATATTGATAACCCCGAAGAACATTACGAAAGGGAGAAATGAAACTAATAATTATATACAAACGATGAAGGAAAACATTATTAACATCCATTTGGGTTTGCAAACCAGTTGTACTTAGCATCTAAAGCGAGAAGAATTAGGATGGGCGGTAGCATGTTTTGCCAATGAACTCAAAGTATTGAGTAGAATCCAAGCCCTCTTGCCTGCGACGGCCCTTGGCCTTGTATTTATCTACAGAACCATCAGGGTTTCTTTTAATACGAACTGTCTGGTT